AATGTTCTTTCTTTTGATGTAGTGGAATGTCTTTTAACTTGTCTTAATAAAAAACAACTCTTTTTCTTTCCGCATTTCCCTTACATTGGCTCTGCAAATTAATTGGCATCCCATCATTTATTTGACTGTGAGATTGGGCCCACAATTTGTAAATTGTACGCCTACAACAGTTGAACTATGTCGCTATTTCCCCACAATGCCCCTCTGAAGTTTCCCGTTATGGAAATATGCTAAAATTGTTTCCACCAAACCGCATTTCTATGCATTGATTAGTTTTGGCCACCAACTTGTTTCAGATTGTCTTCCTTCATTTGTTTGTGATCCAGGTGCAACAGGAGTAGAATGTGGAGTGGTATTGGAGGAAGCTGCAGTTGCATTTGAGGAAGCTGCAGGAGCCTCGATTTGTGGAGAGAGCCGAAGATAGAGCCAAAGATAGTTCCATGGGGTAGTAAATAGTGTTAGATGAAATTGTTGTGGGAATTTAAGGAAGGAAAAATGGTGAAATTTTGTTTTTTGGTGTACTGTTGCACATTGTAGCATTAACCCTCAAAATTTTTGGAGGGCTTTTTGTTGTTGTACGCATAAGCTCGGCAGGAGCACGATAGAACCATCAACTCAACATTCACTTGTAAACATTTTTACCTCCTCATGTGATTGTTTTTACTAGAATGCAACTCCACATCTCCCTCCCTTCACTTTTCTTTCGCGGTTTGGGTAGCACGTGGGGGTGTGAGGGCATTTAGAGAAAGTCAACAACACTTTAGCATAAAAATGTGTGAAGGTCAAAGCGAAAACATCTTTACGAGGTAGAAGGAGTATGAATATAATCACTAACGAATTTAAGGAGTTCTCAATCACTAATATTGACTTGGGTGGCGTATTTTTAATTATACTCTTAGTCCTTATAATTTTGTCATGATTCTTTATTTATTGTCACACAAATTTTACCATTTTCTTTTTTAATCAATTGATTTGTAATTTCTATCAATTTTCTCACTCTTACATAAAATTCGATCACACATATTTATTCTATTAGTCTCCATGCAAATCAAGTTTGATATCTTTTTGGGACGAAGGGAATAAAACTACAAAGTACTCCGTATAACGTTATAATAAGTTTCATATTAATAGACAAAAAAATGGAAAAAATATTACTTCTATACTTTTACAGTACAAAAATATATGATTAGCTTTTATTTTTCAAAGAAAAAAATGTGACTAATTTTAATTAAATAATACACAATATATTTTTCATTTTATTATAATTCAAAGCCAACTACCGATCCCTACCCCCTAGCCCCTTCGCCTCCTTCACTCACACTTGTCGTCGTTTCCCACGTGGAACGTCGTGACAGTTCTAGGAAATTCCGCCGTTTTTAAGTATTTTTTTTATTTTTATCTGTAAAAGTTGTTGGATAATTTTTTTTAGATGGTTGCACTGACATGTTTCAATACAGTAATAACATCTTTTAGTGACATGAACATCTGATTACGAAACATATTATGTGAATATATATCTTCAAATTCATTATTTCTGTTAGCCACATTTTTGAATATATATCTTCAAATTCATTACTCCCTCCGTCCCAGAATTAACTTCGGTTTTGACTGGGCACGGAGATTAAGAAAGTGGGAAATGTGTGGTGGAGAGTTGTGCAGAGGAGAGAGAAATGTGTAAGAATGGTTGTGAACCACAAATCCTTTGCTAAAAAGGGAAAAAGGAGATAAATTTGGGACGGACCAAAAAGGAAAGAATGAAGATAATTATGGGACGGAGGGAGTACTTCGTTAGCCACATTTTTATCTATATATAGAGGAGAAATCACTTTTTTACAATAAGTCTCAATTTAATACGTAGTACTCCGCAATGCTTTGGGAAAACGGCATTATTTTTATCTATATTACAAGTATTTTTTTGAAAAATTAAAATACGGCATATATTTATCTTTTACTCCATTTTTTTAAAATAATACTCAAATAAAAAAGGCGTTTATGGATGAAAGAGGTGCTAGGCTGAGCTTGAGCCAGCTCTACCAACGTACGCACGCAAAATGAATGGTTGGGGTGGCATTCTACTCGCCCGGCCCCTTCGATACTACCTGTGTCCACTTGCATCTATTTTCGCTTTCGGTCTTTTCGTCATCTTTTTTGTCTCCATCCTGAATTTGTGGAGTTTTTTTCCGTAATAATGTTAATTAATTAATTAATTACGAAAATAGAGTTGAGTTGAAAGTATTTACCAAAATACTGCTGGGTTAACCATGGTCGGGGTAAGTCGCCCAACGGTTGGGCGACTTATAAGTCGCCAAACCGTTTGGCGACTTATAAGTCGCCCAACCGTTGGGCGACTTACCCCTTAAGTAAAAACGGGGGCGGCCACAAACAGAACGCAGATATACAATTAGCCCCAATTGAACTGAGCTGCTGCGACGGACGAAGAAGACGACCGACGAACCTCCATCTCCAACTCCGGCGCTCCTCCATCTCCGGCGACCCCAGTCCGGCAACCCTCCATCTTCATCTTCAACACTCTTTACTCCTTATTCTAGGTAAATCCAAATCCATTTCATATAATTTTGCACTTAGGGTTTAGAATGTTAATTTTTTTTAATTTTGGGATTATGAATTGATTGTGAATGAAGTTGTTGTGAAATGTGGATATGTATGAAATGTTGAAATTTGATTTTAAATTGTTTGTAAATTGTAATGTGTATTTTGACATTTGGGCATTTGGGTATAGTTGAATGTACCTAAATTTGGGTATTCAAAGGTAGACATTGAATGTAGATATCAAAATTTGGGTAGTTTGTTATTGAAATGTGAATTGTTTGTGAATTTGGAGTTAATGATATATTACAATTTTGGAAGCAATTTCTATTAAAAATGTGAATGTGTATAAAGTGTGTATATTGATGCCTACTCATGAATGTTGGACAATGAGTTGTTATTAGAATATGGATTTCTCAAGCTTCCCACTCGTGTGTCATTGGGGAGGTAACTATTATGAGAATGGTGGACAAATATGCCATGAAGGTGGCAGAACGAGCTTTGTCATGGTTTCTCGTGGCGCTTGCATGCTCGAGATCCTTCAAAAAATACATGCAGCCACAATGATTCATCCCGGCCGTTCATTGCGGTTGAAAATGAAATTTCCCATGAACGGGGGAAAGTACATGCTTATGCCGCTCATTGATGAGCTAGCTATAACAAATATGTGGGGCATAATTCAGATGGAGGATATGTCAACGCTGGAGATATACATTGAGGAATCTTCTGACACTTATGGTACTCAATCAACATCACATGCTGTTGTATCCAGGCATGATGTCATTGCAGGGGTGAATGCACGGAAGTCGTCAAATGTTCCTGTACTAGACATGGTTATACAGGAGGATGGCAGGTATTTGCACAACGGTGCGTCATTTGTGGATGGGCAGGGAAGTGATGATGATGCAGACGAGAACATCAATGGTGACGACATGACAGAATCTGATGAAGATGATGGTGATACTGTGACATCAACTGCCCCGTCTAGCCACTTCACTAGAATGTATGATCTCCCTGAAGGTTTTACTGATGCGTGGATGAGTGGATCAGGTGAGAAAAGGTTTACCCCCGATGGTGAGTTTGAGGTCGGTCAACAGTTTGACAACAAAGAACAAGTCATCAATATGGTGAGCTTGTATTCTATCAAACGGAACCAATTCTATCGGGTGATAGAGTCCGACAAACACAAGTGGGTGGCACAATGCAAAAGGAAGAAAGAATGTCAATGCCCCTGGAGAATACGCGCCACAAAGAACAAAGGCAACCTTGACACCTTCACAATTGTGCGTTATTCTGGACCTCATTCTGCTTCTTGTGTAGGCAACATCGACACTACAGATCACGTGGCCTTGACATCAGAATTCATCTGTAAAGATGTGGTTGACATTATTCGCACTGATCCTTCTCTTAAAGTGCATACTATCATCGAGATGTTGAAGGAAAAATATGGGTATACGGTATCTTACCGGAGAACATGGATGGGGAAGCAAAAGGCCATAGCACAAATATTTGGCGGTTGGGAAAAGTCATATCTCGAATTGCCCCGTTTCATGACAGCGCTCCAACATTCTAATCCAGGAACTGTTGTTCAGTGGTACCCACCCCCCAATGGTGCGACAGGTTATATGATGTTTCAAAGAGTTTTTTGGGCATTCAAGGCATCAATATCTGGTTTTAAGCATTGTCGACCCGTACTTACTATTGATGGCACACACATGTATGGAAAGTACAAGGGCACATTGCTCGTGGCCATGGGTTGTGATGCGAACAACCAAATTTTCCCAGTCGCCTTTGCAGTTGTTGAATCCGAGAATGGAGACAGTTGGCCATGGTTTATGGCATGTATTAGGCATTTTGTGACTAACAGGGAGTTGTGTGTCATTTCAGATAGACATGGAGGTATTGTTAGGGATCTAACGGGGTTTGTCCCATTTACATGTCGACCCCAGAGTCCTAGCATATGTTCGTGCAGCAGGTTTTTTTACACTGCACAGGTTAGTGGCTACTGTGCCTTTAGATAGAGCCCTCCTCACTGCTCTACTTGAGCGTTGGAGGCAGGAGACACATTCATTTCACCTCCCTGTTGGTGAGGTCACTGTGACATTGGGAGATGTGGCTGTACTGACTGGGTTAGAGGTTGATGGGAGAGCTGTTACAGGCACTGCTTGTCGACAGTGGGTGGATGAGTGTGAGAGGTTGTTAGGCATCCGCCCCGTTCTTAGGGCTGACCTTCAGGGGTCATCTCTTAGGATGCCATGGTTGAGGGAGCACTTCCAGGCCCTTCCTCCCGACGCTGATGAGATGATCATCCAGCAGCATGCTCGGGCGTATATATTGATGATGATGGGAGCCTCCATTTTCGCTGACAAGAGCGGAAATGAGGTTCAGGTGCTACACCTGCCTTTGCTGGAGAGGTTTGATGTAGCAGCACAGTTTAGCTGGGGTAGTGCCACCCTGGCTTATCTCTACAGGCAGCTGTGTCGCGGGTGCCAGAGAGGGAGCACAGAGCTGGGGGGATTTTTGCTACTCCTCCAGATTTGGTCATGGGAGTATATCCACATTGGCCGTCCCATTATAGTTGGATATCATGGCATTGATGGACAGCCACTGCCTGATGAGCCTCCACGTCTGCTAGGACCACATCATGTACGGGGCGTGGACCCTCTAGGCCGTCGGTATGTTTTCAATCGTTTGTATTTGTGTTAGTTTTTGTTGAATGTAAATGCATTAATAAAATCCATATTATTGATATTGTAACATTAATGGTTAGGTGGCTATATGCTGGTTTATCTCGCATGTCATCCGCTACTGACCTCGGTGTGTACAGGGATGCATTGGATCGGATGTCTGAGGACCAGGTATGGTGTGTGTAGTATAACAGTAACTAGAATAGGTGTAGAATAAATACTAATTTTGTATGTTTACGAAACAGATCACATGGATGCCGTATAGACCTGATATGTTAGCAGAGTTGCCCCCAGCTGGACGAGAGCAGACTCACATATGGCGAGCACGTGTGCCGCTGATATGTTTTGACATTGTTGAGCTTCATTTGCCTGATAGAGTTATGCGACAGTTTGGGTTTGAGCAGGTCATTCCACGTCCTATCGACACTTATGTAGAGCTGCATAAGCTGGATAGGCGTGGGAAGCATACAGAGGATTGGGCACTCAGACATGTCCGATACGTGACTATGTGGGATAGGAGAGCTGAGCTAGCCGTGGCTGGGACACCCACATATGTGCCATCAGTTTCAGGAGATTACATGGGATGGTACTACAGCATCACTCGGTTGTTTGTGTCTCCTTCGTTTAGACTCCCTACTCATCATTATCAGCCTAGCTCATTGGCATTGCATCTTACGGTGAGTATATTACTAATTAGTAAAGTAAGTCATTTTATTTATGTAATACTTGTATGTATTTGAATGTAATTGTAATTGTGTTTCGTATTGCAGACCCGAGCTTTGCAGCGCATACATCAGCGGGCTACTGCCACTGTGACTGATATTCCTGATGTGGACATGTATGGACAGACTCTGACAGGCATTGCCTCGTTATGCTCAGATGTGTTGGGTCGAGTAGACTACGGACATCTTATACACATGCCCGCATCTCAGGAGATGGCATCCACGTCTAGTGCAGCCGCGGCTTCATCATCCCAGACGCAACATGAGAGAGTGGTTCTTCAACCACGACAACGCCGTAGGCGTAGACATGAGCAGCAACATCTCCATGACGAAGCTGATGATGGGAACTTGTAGTTTGTCTTTTGTATTGTAGTTTTTCTAATGCAATAGATGTTGTAGGAACAATTTACAAGTTTTGATGTATTTTCTCTTGTTAAGTATTCTATGTTGTATTGATGTGTTTGAGTATGAATATTACATGATTATTTGTTATGGCATATATGATGATTGAACTGTGTTATACCGGTTATGATTTGAAAGTTTTTTAGCGGTGTTTATAAGGTGTTTTTTATGTTGTTGAGAGTAGGTGATTATCATGTGTGGTATCTAGTTTGTAACACTTCAAAAGGAGAAAGGAGACCTTATTTGTAGCAAACAGATCGGTCTGGATTGAACCGGGGCGAAAAACAAGCTGATTTGGTGTTTTAGGTAATAGGCACGATCGTGCCTAAGGAAATAGGCACGATCGTGCGTGGCTGGCAGTAGCTGGTCGCTTGAATCCAAATTTCAGGGCAAAGTCGCCCAACCGTTGGGCGACTTATAAGTCGCCAAACCGTTTGGCGACTTATAAGTCGCCCAACGGTTGGGCGACTTTGCCCTGACCACAGTTAAGCCCCAGCAGTATTTTGGTAAATATTTTTTTTCCAGCATTATTTCCGTAAATAATTAATTAATTAACATTAATACGGAAAAAAACTCGAATTTGTGCTCCTTAATTTTTTTATTAAAATTTTTAAACTTAGATCTAAATTTATGGAGTAATTTTGATCTTATTTAACATAAAGCATTTTGTACACATTTAAAGGCTTACACATTTGTACACATGACACCGTCTGTGATTTTTTTATGTGCGTCATAGACAAGAGAAAACATTCATGGACGGGTGTGTACAAGCGTATAAACAGTAAAGTGTGTTAAAAACAATCGACGTTGAGTCTGTCATAGATGAGTTTGCTAAGGTGAAAGAACATCGTGTTCAATTACCATTTTAGTTTCAAATATTGTATGTACTGTTTAGAAATACTTTTGTAAATTTTAATGGATTTTAATCATTATGTTCACACTATTTACGCCTTTAAAATTTTATATAATGTTTTTAGTGTATAGTTTGCTCAGGGTAAACATCAGTCCTGGCTACGCCCTTGATAGTTTGGGTTAAACCCTCTTTTTGGAAAGTGTTGTGATATCAAATGTTTCGAAAAATTATAATCAACGATTTCTGAATATTTCGAGCAACCAAGAGTAATTAGTGGTGTCGGTTTCTACATCCAGATAAATGTAGGATTTTGGTATCCGTGGTGTCAGTTTCTACATCCAAATAAATGTAGGATTTTGATTGGTGGTCTATGACAGGGCTACTACTATCTGGTGGTTTATTTCTCTTGGTTTGGTTTTGAAAATCTTGGATATAATTTTTTTTTGCTTCGGCTTGTGTGGTAGTACTAGCTCCTTTCCCACTTTTTAGGATTAGTTCTTCTTGGGTACTCGGTAGAAACTTATTCTAGCTACTTAGCTTTGATTTGTTGCTGCTCAGATAACTTGGAATCCCTTTAGGGGTGTCTACACTTAAGGTAGACGCTCAGTTTCCAATTGATGATTTGAGTGGGGTTTGGGTTATCGGGCGGTTCATATGTTTCATTGTTGACTATATCACCTGCCTGGAACACAAGAGGTGACGTGTGATAGTTGGTGAGCTAACTAGGAAACACTAGTTATAATGAGTTTTGGGTGGTTTTGTATATGTATGGATTGAAAAGAAATATTTTAAATCTGGATTTGCGAGGAAATATCTTTCTTTCGAAAGACTATTTTTAATTATAGAAACATTTTGTTTTACCTCACTTTTTTTTGGATCGATCTACACATGTATCAAAACTATTTTTCTCAAATTATTTTATTTTACGGGGTTAGGTGAGTCTTAGCTAGTTGTAAAACTAATTTTTGTTCCTTTTCTTTTTTGTTTTCTGTACGTTATTTGGTGCATGTGATGAAGATTATGTTTGATGAAAAGAGTCTCGCTAGATAACGTAGACCAGTTACTAGTTACATTTATTAAATCTGAAATTTCAGAATTTGTCACTATTTTAGTTCTTTCAGTTTTGAACTTAGTACTTATGTTTATTTTGGATTGTGATTTAGCCTGTGCATTCAAATATGCGAGAACCGAGTGTATCGGTAACACCCATTGAGTATTTTATTTCCGCTACAATTTAAACTATTTTGAAGTTAAATGTTTTGGGAAAACTATCTTTCTACGTACTTGTTGTTTTAGTATATATCCTGGGCTAGGATTTGAGGGTGTTACAATATTAACTAACACCATTATGTCTGATTTGATCTGAACCTTTCTGATCTGATTTTTTACTTTCATTATTATTGTTGTTGTTATTGTTATTGTTGTTGTTGTTATTAAAATTATTATTATTATTATTGTTGTTATTATTGATACTATTACTATTATTATTATCATTGTCATCATCATTTCTATCTTTATCATTATTTTCATTTGGAATTTTATCAATTCAAGACCCGAAAGATGAACGAATTATCAATCCGGTACATGAAATATGAAATGTATTAGTATAAAACTTGAATGATAGAAAACTATCAATGTAGGACCTAAATGATTGAAAACTATCATATAGGACTTAAGTTGTCATAAATTTTATTATTTTTTTATTTTTAAAAATTAAAATATTTTTGTTTTATTAAGCTAATTAGAAAATATATTCGTTTAGACAAATTCGTTTGGTAGACCTTGTGAATTACGTCGTACTAAATAGTAAGTAATATCACATTTGTTCCATTAAGATCGTGACATGTGCAGCTATCAGAAAAGAGTTTATTTAGCTAATGTTGGAATGAAAAAGTAGGGACATTAATGTGATAAATATTTAGAACTACACATGTATTATAATATTTAGAGCTACACAAACTTAGTGAACGAAAGAAAATGGAAATGTCGGAGAAAATTGATGAGACAGAAAGAAATAAGAAACAGTTTATAAAAATCCAGAATAAGGGAGAATCTCCAAGAGTTTATGATGATAAAAGAAATAGAGAGTAATAATTTATTTTAAGAGTAGCTAACAATTGTCAATTATTTCTATTTTTGAGTATTTGGATTTTGTAATACCGGTGAGTGAATTTTTTTTACCTAGTTTTATATAGAACATGATAACAAATACACACACATATTAATATAAATACATATACATAATATTGGAATACATAAGAGTAGAGTTTTAGATGTTGAATAGCTTTTTATTTAATTTATTGTGTTGCCACGTGTCGTTTTTCATACAAAAAATGTTGTCACATGCCAATAATTCCTCCAAAGAGTTCTTCAATGGTTTGCTTTATTATATTAATAGTACTAGTGTGTGTACCCGTGCACTGCACGATAAAATATGTGTGCAAAGTTTTTCTTAAAATGGTAGGACAATGAATTGTATGTGAATTCGCTCGCTGAATTTTGTTATAATAAGAAAAGGTAAGGCTGTCGTTACATTTGTGGCTGTATTGACTGAAGTTTTTATAGAAGATTATATTAGGTAATTTTCATAGTTTTTTCTTTATTTTATTCATAAAACTATTTTAAATGTTTTTTTCCTCCATAAATCAGCAGAACATCAACCACTTCAACCACAATTTCATCAATTTTAACAGAATCCACCGATTCAGTGTAGCCCGTTTCGACTCTTACTTGAGAATAAGAGTGAGATAGAGGAAAGCGTAGTGAGGATTGAGAGCCTTAAATGAACATTAGTTTGAATTCGTTTTATTTTATTCACGTGAACACCATTGCTAATTCATACTCCGTACTATGTTTAGAGTTTTTTCCCAAAATAATGTTAAATTAAAAAATTCCCAAAACAAGGTCAAGTTAAAAGTATTTCCCAAAATTCTGCTCGCCTAAACTCTGGTTAAGAGAACTGCCACTTCAACTGACGGCTTATACAAAAAACAAGTAACGAAAAGAAATGCAGGCAGAAGGGGGACCATGAGATAAGGTCCCACAAAAAATGAAATCCCATTTTTATTTAAAAGGGATATAACCTCTTATTTGAACTCTGATTATTGCAAAAACTAAATCAAAATTCGCAATTTTTTTTATTATCTGTCATTTGACACCAATATTGAATATATAAAAAAAACTAACACTTTAAAAAATATATGTTTTTTGCAAATGTTATCTCTTTTTTATATGTACTTCGATTGTTACAAAAAATATATCAAAAATCACACCTCTTTGTTACCTTTCACAAGACACTAAATTTGATTATATAAAAATCAAAAATCAATGCCATCAATTTGTGCAGTTTATAATCATTTTTACCTTGAAAGCTAATAATTAGGAGTGATAGTTTAGAATAAAACTGCGCTAAATCCATCACTTTTATTTATTGTTTCATTCTTTGTACAGTTTTATTGTAAACTATCACTCATGATTAATTGTGTGCACATATAAAAACGATCATAAACTCCATAAATTAGTAGGATTAATTTTTTTAATTTTTATATATTCAAAATTAGTATCTTATGAAAGATAAGAAAGAGTTAGGACTCTTATGCATTT